TTACTGCCAAAAATATTTTTGAGGAGGGTTGCCACCTGTTATAAAATTTTATAAAATTTTTAAATTGATAAAACAAATAAAATATTACAGCACGGATATCAAACTAGAAGGGTTACTAAAGTTTACTGCCGCAAATATTTTTGTATCGCGTGGCCACTTATTTGAAAAATTTTATTCAGTTAAAGTGTTAAAATAAGGTAAATAGTAATTAAAATACTGAATTAATATACCTTAGAAGAAAATGCACAATATGTAGAATCGAGTTACAAGAGCATAAATTAAATTTCCAGTATTAAATATATATGTACCTTTGAAAAAGTATTAACACCCTTATTCAAAAAAATAATAAGGGAGTAACAACACAAACAGAGTTTGAAGGCGCAGTGAAGGACGCCTGGTACCTATTTGCTAGTTTTAAATAAAAATTTTTAGTAGGCAGTGTCATTGGGTTATATTCATAGTTGAAATAACGCCAATTATTAAAAAGTATATCAAACAGTGGCAATTAAATTTCGTCTCAACTCTATCTTGATTATGCATACGCCCCTTTGATTTATGTTGCTATTAACTGTTTGTTGCAAGCCACTTAGCAACATAAAATGGTTCACAACATGTTGCTAAGCAAACGGCCTCTCCGACAACGAAATATGTAGCCACAGTCAAATTTCACTAGCAAAAGCGCTTGAGTTTCTCACTGCTTCAGAAACAATTGTACATACATATACATATACATATGTATGTATGTATACGCAAATACCCACCGCATGCATGGTATTAAGACCACGTTTAAACATAACTAACTAACTGGTATGATTTTCAGATACATTTTAAGAAAACTGCTATTTCTTTTTGTATGTAAGTATTACCAAAGCACTTAAAAATGACCGTGAAAAAGTCTGAATGAAAACAAATTCGAAATGAGATAAACAAAAAGAAAAATTAAGATGAAACACAAAAGAGAAAAGCGTGCAGGTAAAGTAGCGAAAAGACAAGCTTTAAGCAAAAATAAAACAAAGCGCAGACAAAGAGAAGATTTGGATATGCAACATCGCAGGTAGTATATGTAGGTATTATAATCTGGCATTGGTGCTGATGGTGGTTGTTTGTTTGGTTCTTTGGTTTTGCGATGTGGTTTTTTCTCGTTAGTCAAGTAGTGCGCATGGCTTGGATTTATTTCGCTCAGAATATGTATGCATATATGTATTTCAAAAACGAGTTCTCCAGTCATCTTCCTCATCGGATAGCCAAACAAGTTATGAGCGCAAATAAATGTTTGTTTGATTTGGTTGTACTAGCTATGGCATAAATACAAAGATTTATCTGTTAGAAAATATGTAGTTTGATTTTGTATATACGTAAAGCTTTTCTTGATTTTTATGGCATTCAACATAAACAGATCATATTTCGAGTTTAATAAAAT